GTGTTAGTATATATCTGTATATGTGTTAGTATATATATGTGTATGTGTTAGTGTATATATGTGTATGTTTTAGTATATGTGTATGTGTTAGTGTATATATGTGTATGTTTTAGTATATATGTGTATGTGTTAGTGTATATATATATATATATATATGTGTATGTGTTAGTGTATATATATATGTGTATGTGTTTGTGTATATATGTGTATGTGTTTGTATATATATGTCATGTCTTTCTGTTTCTGTGTTTTCTTTTCCTGTGTTCTTTGTGGGGTAATCATGGGATCACACTCACCTGTCGTTAATTAGCTTCACTTGTGTCACCTGGTGTTCCCTGTGTATACAGTATATACCCCTCTCCCTCACTCTGTCGGGGGTGGAGCATTGTGATTGTGGTGGGGTGTGTTTGGTCATTGTGACTGTGTTGGAGCTTCGTGTTCGTGAGTTTCCTACTCTGTGTTTCCTCGTGTTCCGTGTTTTCCTCGTGTTCCTCGAGAATTCCATGCCTGTTAGTTCTTCGTGTTTTGTTAATTTGGACTTTGTTAATAAACTTCCTGCACCAGAAAGAGTCTCTCCAGTACTGCATTTGGGTCCTGCCTGCTCCCTGCGATGCTCGCACATGACAATATGTGTATGTGTTAGTGTATATATATATATATATATATATATATATACACACACACATACACATATCATATACACACACACACATATATACTAACACACACACATATATATATATATATATATGTGTATGTGTGTTTATGATATACGTGTATGTGTTAGTGTATATATATATATATGTGTATGTATGTGTATTAACAACGAAAAAAGATTGTTTTTGCTAACAGTAGCTATTGCTAACTGGTTTCGTTGGGGTTTTTTTTCTTTACTAGTTGTGTTTTTTTTTTGGGGGGGGGTCAGATTTGTTTACGCCACACATTAGCTAGGTCAACCAATTACTTTGGTCATTAAGTCCCCTGGTGGTCTAGTGGTTAGGCTTTGGCCCTTTCACCACAGTGGCCGCGGTTTGATTCCCGGTCAGGGAACTCCTGTAATTGCCGGCCAATAGAAATGCTTCTTCAAAGTTTTTTTCTTCAGAATTTTCAGTTTTCAATTTTCTTCGTGTTTGTTTGACTCCCGAGCAGTTTCGGAAACTATTGTCGTGCAGATGGAGTAAACGCTCAGCATAAGATCTGCACACAACAATCTTGACATTGAACCAGTGTTTATTAGTTAGCGCTAACGTAGCTAAGCGAACGTTTGTACACAGCTACACGTTGCTGTGAGAGCGGTGTCCAAGCTGTGGGTCGGAACTGACTGGAGACCCCTGGAGGGACTTCATCCAGCTGAGTACAGTGTGTGGGTGAGGG